CTCTCTCTCTCTCTCTCTCTGCCCCTCCCCTGCCGTCTCTCTCTTACAAAATAAATAAAACATTAAAAAAAAAAATGATGGGTGCCTGGGTTAAGTGTCTGACTTAAGCTCAGGTCTGAATCTCACAGCTTGTGGGTTCGAGCCCCACATCAAGTTCTGTGCTCATAGCTCTTTGGTTGCTTGGATTGGGGGTAAGAGGAAGATGGAGAAACTGGTTATTCTATGTAAATGCCCAGCTTATATTCCTAACTGGAAATCCCATTGTTGTAGTTCATAAAAAGGTACAAAGAGATAAACTGTGCTCCTGGTGACTATTGAGAATCATCTGATTGTTTGATATAAAAGAGCTCTTTAGTGCCTTGGGCATATGTACTGGGAGCTCACCCTAGTGTTGATAATGAGTAAGAAAATAGGTTGATCCATGCTACGTTGGGGGAAAGTAGAGGGTGCTGTAGGGAGAGGCTGCAGAGGGAAGGGGATGGTACAGGGTGGCAAAAGGCTGGACTAGACTTCCAACATAGGAACTACAGGCCAAAGACGTGAGGCAAGTTTTCTACCTGAAAGTAGTAGGGAAGTTAGTGAAGAATTTTTTTAATTACTTAATTTATTTATTTTTAAGTAATCTCTACACCCAACATGGGGCTTGAACTCACAACCCCAAGATCAAGAGTTGCATGCTCTCTGAGCCAGTCAGGCGCCCCATTAGTGAAGGATTATAAGCAGGGACTTGGTATAATTGTTTTTGTGAAGGGTGGGCCCTCTGGAGAACGAGTAAAAAGGAGGAGTTGTGCAGATGGTAGTCACTTGGATTTGGATGGGAATGGAGAGAAGTGGATGGAATCTGGAGATATTCAGGACCTACCTACCAAGTGTGGAGAAGAGCTAGCCAGGGGTCCAGGTTGATACTCAGGTATCCAGTGAACATTGGAGGCTGTAACCGGGAGAGGCAGCATAAAAGGAAGAGCAGATTTGAAAGGGGATAAGGAGAGGTGTGTGGTGAGATCACTTCTGGTGAGTTAGAGACGCCAGTTGGTTGCTAAGTGAAATTAGTCAGAGAAAGACAAATATGACTTCACTCATATGTGGAATTTAAGATACAAAACAGATGAACATAGGGGAAGGGAAACAAAAATAATATAAAAACAAGGAGGGGGACAAAACGTAAGAGACTCTTAAATATAGAGAACAAACAGTTGCTGGAGGCGATGTGGGTGGGGGGGATGGCTAAATGGGCAAGGGGGATTGAGGAAGACATTTCTTGGGATGAGCACTGGGTGTTATATGTAGAGGATAAATCAGCAGATTCTACTTCTAAAGTCATTATTGCACTGCTGATTAACTTGGATTAAATTAAACAATTTTTAAAAAATGATGCTAGTTGGAGAGGTCGAGCAAGGAGAGGCAGTTGTGGGCTTGGAGCTCAGCTACGGGGAAGAGATTTGGGAATTTCAACCTAGGTCAGTTCATCAAAGCTGGGAGAGGGCGTGAGGCCGTCTAGGACAGAACGAGAAGACATAGTAGACAGACCCTTCGGGGTTGAATAGAGGAGGCAGAGCCTTAGGAAGAAGATGAAATGGAGCAGTCCAAGAAGGACAAAGTAAACCATGAGAGCTGGCCTCAGTGGCCAGCCCTGCTTGCTTACATTTATTATATATATTTTTACTTCCTTCACCCAGTTTTCCTTTTTTTAAAATTTTGGTTCTTCTTTTGCTGTCACTTCTTCCTCATGTACCAGGTCTGCGTACAGCCACTACAGAATCAACTTCTTGAGGAACTGTGGTTAATTTATTTTTGTACCTAGAGTACCAGGCATGGAATGTGCTCAATAAAAACAGGCTGAACTAAACCCACAGGCATCGCTTTCCTTCTCTGTTCGTCAGGAAGTCCAGAGAAATGACCATCGCTTGCTTGAAGTGGCCATACTCAGGAACCAGCAACTTCATACGGCTGTGGGTACATAATGAGACTAATTTTAACAAGAGTAGAGTGCTTTGAGAGGGAATGGGCATGGGCCCTAGAAAATGTCTTGCCCTTGGATAGACTATCCCAGTATTTCCAATATTTAATGACAGTCATGGTTAGGAAGTTAGTTTGTATTACGAACTCTTCCTTTCAAACCTCTAGAAGCTCTGCTCTGTAGCATATAAACAGATGGCTCAAGCCCCAGGCCTAATCTTACCAAATGACCGAATGACCCTTCAGAAGGACTCTGAGTCAGGATAACACCTGTTCTGACTTTGTGTCCATACATCACTTACGAGATTCATACGACGAGCTGTTGGTGTTTGTTATCTGGCACTATTCTCCCATCAAGTAGACTCAGAATTATCATAGTGTATAGATTTGTCTGATAAGCTCTGCTACTCACCAGATTTAAATTTGGGGAGGAAAAGTCTTTACTTGCTTAGTTATTTTACTTCTATAACGACAGTTACAAGGGCTCCACAATAATATCATTAGAACACAACGCAGAGGTTTCACCTCTATCTGTATTATTTTATTTCTTAAGCTGGATGCGTAGTTGTATGATGTTTGTTAGTCATATTTTTTTTCAATGTCTAAGATATTTTATAATATATTCAGAAACTACAGATGGAAAGGTTAATGTACTTATTTCCAATTTAGTTACCTTAGATTAACTTTTTCTACATTCACCATATTTGAGCTGTCGAAAGTGACTTCTAAAAATGGTAGAACATTATCCCCATAGGAGAATTCATTATAGTAACAGCCTCATGAAAAGCTGTTGAAATTCTCTGCCTGTCATTCATTCTGAGTTTCATAATGTGTTTTCAAGAGAGGCTGTGAAAGCCTTTGTAGAATTTAAGGGGAATTAGGAAATTTCCTCTCCAGTTTGGAGGGTATGTGTTACAGAGGTTTGATGGATGTGGTGAGGCAAGAGGGTATCACCTGGGAACAACCACTCCCACTGGGCAGGGTTACCTCAATGGAATCAGCATAGTTTAGAGTAAGGTGGTTCAGTTTAAAAACCTATTGTCTTGGGGTTCCTGGGTGGCTCAGCCAGTTGATCATCTGACTCTTGATTTTGGCTCAGGTCATGATTCCAGGGCTCCAGGTTGAGTGCAGAGCCTGCTGAAGATTCTCTCTCTCTCTTCCCCTCCCCTCCTCTCCCCTGCCCTTAAAACAAAGCAAAAACCTATCCTCTCAGGGAGTAAGACCTGCATTACCCCACCTCACTGAGAAGGATATGTAAAAGCAGGATTAAAATTTCATAATTTACAACAAGATATGGAGCCACCAAGGGCCCCAAGTATGTGTGTTCCCTGGCCAGGCCGTGTTTTGTGGGCAGGCCACACGGGAGCCAGTTGGTGAGACTGGAACCAGAGAAGGAAGCTGCCTTGAAAGCCTTACCTATCTTCATGAGGGGAAT